TTTTGTTTCATTGTTATACTCCACAAATTAGGGAAATCATTTACTACTTGGCTTTCTCTGCCTGACTTATTTCTTGAGCATAATACACTCTAGCTCCATCCATGTTATTGCAAATGGTAGGATTTGTTTTCTTCTCATGGCTGAATAGTATTCCATTGCATATATATACCACCTCTTTTTTATTCATTCATCTACTGATGGACACTTAGGTTGCTTCCATATCTGGCTATTGTAAATAGTGCTGAGATAAACATAGGGGTGCATATTTCTCTTTAAATGTGAGATCTTGCCTTCTTTGCGTGAATTCTTGGAGTGGAATTCCTGGGTCAAATGGCATTTCTATTTTTAGTTTTTTGAGTTCTCTTTTTGTTTTCCAAAATGGTTGAACTAATATATATACCTACCATCAGTGTAGGAGGGTTCCCCTTCTTCCACATCCTCACCAGCAGTTGTTGTTCCTAGTTTTTTCGACATTGGCCATCCTAACTGGTGTGAGGTGATATCTCATTGTGGTTTTAATTTGCATTTCCCTGACAATTAGCAATGTGGAGCATTAAAGTTCCCAGGAAATTTATACCAACATATTTGACATAGGCCATTTGACAGAGAATAGAGTAATAATCTCAGTTTATCTACCTCTTACCTATGTGACCTGGGATAAGTTACTTAATTTTATTGATCCCTTGCAAAGTATGAGACTTGCAAATCAAAGCACATAGAGGGCCCAGCATACAGCAGGGACTCATAAATGACCACTCTCATTAGCCATCTTAAAACACTGGTGGATAGGAATACTGTAAAATCATGAATACAACTTTGACTTGAACAGAAATGGGTAGTTGGGAATCTAGAAGTTGTGGGCATTAGAAGCCTACATAGAAGAAACCTATGAGACACTATTATAAAGTTAATACTTTCCATAGTAAGTAAATATGATATGGAACTGACAACTCTGTATATAAACAAAATTGAGGATAAAATGCTCTGAGGAAAAAAAGATAAGAGACGGAATAAAGTACAGAGTGAATGGACTCTTGGAGGGCTCACATGTAGTACACAGCTAGCTCTCCTCTACAGCACTAACTTAAAGATTCAGTGTTCTCAGGGAGTCCCCAACCTGCTTGTCACCAAAGAAAGCCTGGGATCCCAAGACAGGGTTTTGGTTTCTTTCCTAACCAATACAAACCAAAAAATGAAGAGATTTAACTGCTGGAGTTTATTAAGCACATCAATTTCAGGGGTTGGCCAGATATTAATGCATCATCAATTATAGTCATTAATAATCATGCATGGATCACTTAAATTTGTCAGTCACTGTTCTAAGCTGTTTTACATGAATCATCCCATTTATTCTTCATAACAATTCTAGGATCTTTTAACCCTGTTCTATAGATAAGGAAACTGAGACTCAGAGTAGTCAAGGAAATTGTTGAAGGTCACACAGGCAGTAAGTTAATAGAGCTGGATCAGAACTCAGACTTGCCTACCTCCAAAGCCTTCAGGGCTTCTAACTCTAATGTTAGTGCATACAGCAAATAGTCTTTATGTGTGGATTTTTTCACTAGCCTAACTTCATTGATCAGGTTATGCATGAGCAAGTGATCTTCAAATACAAAATGGCAGGAATAACGTACTAAGGCCAGACTTTTTTTTTGGTATTATTAGTATACAATTACATGAGCAACATTGTGGTTACCAGATTCCTCCCATTATCAAGTCCCCACCACATACCCCATTACAGTCATTGTCCATCAGCATAGTAAGATGCTGTAGAATCACTACTTGTCTTCTCTGTGCTATACTGCCTTCCCTGTGCCCCCTCCTATATTATATATGCTAATCATAATGCCCCTTATTCCCCTTACCCTCCCTTCCCACCCATCCTCCCCAGTCCCTTTCCCTTTGGTGACTGTTAGTCCATTCTTGGGTTCTGTGATTCTGCTGCTGTTTTGTTCCTTCAGTTTTCCTTTGTTCTTATACTCCACATATGAGTGAAATCATTTGGTATTTGTCTTTCTCCGCCTGGCTTATTTCACTGAGCATAATACCTAGCTCCATCCATGTTGTTGCTAATGGTAGGATTTGTTTTCTTCTTATGGCTGAATAATATTCCATTGTGTGTATGTACCACCTCTTCTTTATCCATTCATCTACTGATGGACACTTAGGTTGCTTCCATTTCTTGGCTATTGTAAATAGTGCTGCAATAAACATAGGGGAGCATATGTCTTTTTCAAACTGGATTCCTGCATTTTACGGTAAATTCCTAGGAGTGGAATTCCTGGGTCAAATGGTATTTCTATTTTGAGTTTTATGAGGAACCTTCATACTGCTTTCCACAATGGTTGAACTAATTTATATTCCCACCAGCAGTGTAGGAGGGTTCCCCTTTCTCCACATCCTCGCCAACATTTGTTGCTCCTTGTCTTTCAGATGGTCGCCATCCTAACTGGTGTGAGGTGATATCTCATTTTGGTTTTAATTTGCATTTCTCTGTTGATTAGTGATGTTCCAGCCATCTGAATTTCTTCTTTGGAGAAGTGTCTGTTCAGATCCTCTACCCATTTTTTAATTGGATTGTTTGCTTTTTGTTTGTTGAGTTGCATGAGCTCTTTCTGTTTTTGGATGTCAACCCTTTATTGGATATGTCATTTATGAATATATTCTCCCATTCTGTAGGATGCCTTTTTGTTCTGCTGATGGTGTCCTTTGCCATACAGAAGGTTTTTAGTTTGATATAGTCCCACTTGTTCATTTTTGCTTTTGTTTCCCTTGCCTGGGGAGATATGTTCATGAAGAAGTTGCTCATGTTTATATTCAAGTGAGTTTTCTCTATGTTTTCTTCTAAAAGTTTTATGGTTTCATGACTTACATTCAGGTCTTCGATCCATTTCGAGTTTACTTTTGTGTATGGGGTTAGACAATGATCCAGTTTCATTCTCTTACATGTAGCTGTCCACTTTTGCCAATACTAGCTGTTGAAGAGGCTGTCATTTCCCCATTGTATATCCATGGCTCCTCTATCATATATTAATAGATCATATATGCTTGGGTTAATATCTGGACTCTCTATTCTGTTCCACTTGTCTATGGGTCTGTTCGTGTGCCAGTACCAAATTGTCTTGATTACTGTGGCTTTGTAGTAGAGCTTGAAGTTGGGAAGCGAGATACCACCCTGCTTTATTCTTCCTTCTCAGGATTGCTTTGGCTATTCGGAGTCTTTTGTGGTTCCATATCAATTTTAGAAGTGTTTATTGGTATTTTGATAGGAATTGCATTAAATCTATAGATTGCTTTAGGCAGGATGGCCATTTTGACAATATTAATTCTTCCTAGCCAAGAATATGGGATGAATTTCCATTTATTAGTGTTCTCTTTAATTTCTCTTAAGAGTGTCTTGTAGTATTCAGGGTATAGGTCTTTCACTTCCTTGGTAAGGTTTATTCCTAGGTATTTTATTCTTTTTCATGCAATTGTGAATGGAATTGTTTTCCTGATTTCTCTTTCTGCTAGTTCATTGTTACTGTATAGCAATGCAAGATTCTGTGTATTAATTTTGTATCTTGCAATTTTGCTGAATTTAGGTATTAGTTCTAATAGTTTTGAAGTGGATTCTTTAAGGTTTTTTGTGTACAATATCATGTCATCTGCAAACAGTGACAGTTTGACTTCTACCTTACCAATCTGGATGCCTTTTATTTCTTTGTGTTGTTTCATTGCCATGGCTAGGACCTCCAGTATTGTGCTGAATAAAAGTGGGGAGAGTGGGCATCCTTGTCTTCTTCCCAATTTAGAGGAAAAGCTTTCAGTTTCTTGCTGTTAAGTATGACATTGGCTGTGGATTTGTCATATATGGCCTTTATTATGTTGAGTACTTGCCCTCTATACCTATTATGTTGAATTTTGTCGAATGCTTTTTCAGTATCTACAGAGATGATCATGTGGTTTTTGTCATTTTTGTTGATGGGGTGGATGATGTTGATGGATTTTAGAATATTTTACCATCCTTGTATCCCTGGGATGAATCCCACTTGATCATGGTGTATAATCATCTTGATGTATTTTTGAATATGGTTTGCTAATATTTTGTTGAGTATTTTTGCATCAATGTTCATGAGGGATATTGGTCTGTAGTTTTCTTTTTTTGTGGTCCCTTTGCCTGGTTTTGGTATTAGAATGATGCTGGCTTCATAGAATGAGTTTGGAACTATTCCCTCCTCTTCTATTTTTTGGAAAACTTTAAGAAGAATGGGTATTATGTCTTGTGTGTATGTCTGATAAAATTCAGCGGTGAATCCATCTTAAGGCCAGACCATCAATTCTTTGTACATGGGGCTCAGACATTCAAGAACGGGAGTTCTTTTAAGCCAGTTTTAGATTCTCTCTCTTCCATCTGTGCGTCCTGCCGTTAAGCGTTGAGTAAACGTGTGTTGACTGGAGGGACGCATGACTCACCTAGTGGGTCTTTTCAAATGTCAGGCGGAGCATGTCCTACAAAACAGCGAGACCGTGAAAGCAACCTCCCCCCAACCCCCGCCAACACTGTTTTTGTCACCAAGCTGCTTAGATGTTGGGGGAAGCTGTTTTTGACATGGAACCAAAGTTTGAGAAACACGTCACCACCTGAGAACGCAAAGAAAGCCCAAAAAGCGGGACCACAGCAACACTCGAACCCCAGAGGCCCACTTCCTTCACGGCGCAGGGGAAGCGCAGGTGCAGGCGCGGAGCCCGAATGAGGGCGAGACAGCAAAGACGCGTCATGAATTCCACGCGGGCTGCGGGGTTCGCGGACCCCACTGAAGAGCGGGAGGGAGCACGGTCCACCCGGTACACACCCGCCAGCCCCGCTGAAGCCCAGAGCTGCCGGTAGGGCAGCTAACAGCTCTTCCACAGCAGAGCTTAGGTGCACCGCTACATCTCCGGGACTGCCCGGGCCGCTCGCGCAGGCGCACTCCTCCGCGCCGGCCAGCCTGCAGCGCACGCGCACTCCGTCCTCGCTCGCGAGCTCTGTCGGCCCCCACAGGTCCCGCCCCACTCCGAGGGCTGGGCGCCCCATATCCGGGTTCCCGGCGCCGCAGCCGTCGCTGCGCTCATTCAGCTTTGCCCAGATCCGTGGGATTCCCGACAAAGATGGCGGCCGTGGCGCGAGTCGGCTCCTTCGGTTCCTCCCCGCCGGGATTAGCCTCGGTTTACGCAAGCGGACCCTTGGCCAACGAACTAACGTCGGGCAATGGCGGAGCCGCTGTAGGCGACGACGATGACGGGCAGAACCTTTGGTAACGAACCCACCCCGCCCCAGGTCCCTGCTGGCACGCCCGGCCCAGGGACGTCTCGGGACCCGTGCCCGCCGGAGCTCGGCGCCGGGCTGGCCGCCGGTTCTCGGCAGCGCCCGCCCAGGCGCGCCGAGGCCGCATCCCTCCCTCCCTCCCACGCCGGGCCCCGGCCCCGTCTCAGCGTGCGTCTTGCTCCCTGTCAGGTCCTGCATCCTCAGCGAGGTCTCCACCCGCTCGCGCTCCAAGCTCCCCGCGGGGAAAAACGTACTGCTGCTGGGTAAGTGCCCCGCCCCGCCTGGCCCCCACGCGGCCGTCGCCTGCCCGCGCGCCCTCTGGCTTTGTGCGGACCGCCGGTCCGGCCCCGCCCCGCCGCCCGGCTTGGCGCTGACAGCTGGGGAGAGGGGCGCGGACCCCCGCCCTGGACCTGCGGGACCCGCCGTCCCACCCCTTCCTCCTCTCCTGGAGTCTGGGGCGACCCCGACGGCCCCTCCTGGGAAGGACAAAATGCGACAGCCCATCTGAGGGATTCTGGTGGCTTAGGGTTTCCCTAGAAAATAAGGGCGGTTTTTCTTTCATCACAAAATCGGTGGCAGGAGACTTCCCAAGACCTCCAGTGCGAATGGCATTACATTAATATTTAATAGCTGACTCTTTGTATAATTGACAGAGACTCTGGAAATGAGACCTGGTAGTCGTGCTGAAATGTTCTTATTTGATTCGGCTTTTTCGGGTGCAATGGGCTCGTTTTGCAGCTGCCTTTTTAACTGTCATTCATGAACCTGAAATTTGTAAAGGGCAGTGGAACACCTTTCTAGTTAAGTCCCTTTAGCCGAATGAATGTAATAAGGCCACTGGGCTAATGTCTTAATTCTCCTGATGCTTCTATATTCCCTCTGCTCTCTGGAAGTGTGTATTTTGTTGCTTGAATTATTTTCGGAGTGGGCGTTGAGGACGGTGGGGGGCGTTAGGTTCCTCTTTGGCACTTTTAGCTTCTGAGTCACAGGAGAGATTTCTTCCGTATTCTTTAAATGTGAGATACTGAAGTTTGGCTTATAAGATGATAGTTAAAATTTAAATCTTTATTACTGTCTGAAAACTATTATTATTATGACTATCTAAAAACAGGAAAGGAAACAAAGTCCTAATGCTACTTGATAGGGCCCGCTTTTAATAGAAATGTTTAGGGTGAGAACTACTCCAAATCTAGAATACATGAATATGATTCTAGACGTTCTTTGAAGTTATACGGAGTGAGCTGAAAAAGGAGTTTTTTGTCTTTGTGTTTAATGTGATTGAAAATACCTACTGCAGATTAACCTAGGTTCAGTCACTGCCCTATCACATGTGAGATCTTAAGTTCCTGGACATCTATAAACCTCAGTTTCTTCATCTTTAAAATGGATTTTATAGAAACAATAATGCCTACCTCTTGGGGTTTTTATGGAGAGGACTGAATGAGATTTTTGTAAAATGGTAACAGCACAGTGACTTTTTGTGATGGCTTAGAAAATATTTTATCAGAACTCTCTTTTTAAAAATTGAATTTGTGCCTACATAGGTGATATTTATAGGTCAGAGATAGATTAGGATCCAGAAGCAAAGGAACTCCAGAAAATGTTTTAAATTTACTAATTTAAACAAATTACTATTAATAACTAAACTAAAATAGACTTAACACAGTGTGACCTCATTGAACTGGATTATATTTTAATTTAAAAGACTTCTTTTCAAACACTGCCATTGTAAAGATAAGATTCCTGGACTTTGTTTTCATTTTATAAGTTCCTCCCAATCATTCCTGTGCATTAGGAAATGGTTGTGTTTGTAGTGAAATAAAAGTGACAAGTTTTGTTTATTTCTTGATGTTTCTAATGTGCACTGAGTTTGCACCATCTTTTTATCTAGCTCTTTTTTAAACCTGCCTTTGACACTTGGTCAGTGTATGTGTCTGAGTATACTTAGAGGCCCCAGGCTCTTTTATCCTTTCATACTTAGAATAAATTAAATACCCTTTTTTATGAGTTTAGCTGCTCATAAAGCTCCACCTAGTATCAAGAGCTTGAAATTAATTTTTTTGCTTTGAGTATTATTAGGATTTTCATTAAAGTCCTTTTCAGCTTTGGAAGAAAATGATAACAGATTTTTATACTCATTGTGTAACTAGGATTAGTTTTCTAAAAGAACTCTAAAGATTTTGAAAAGACATTTTATAATCACATATACAGTCTATGCGGTGGAGGGAAAAAATACATAAACAGGGATTGTGGTTTTCTTTGTTAGGAGTCTGAGGGTGCTAAGCAGCAGGATGCTTGGCCCTATTATGTCTGTGATGAATAACAGTGATCTCTGGAGTCCCCTATGTAAAAATCCAAATCTGAGTTTTACATTTCCAGAAGCAACTTAGAATAGGAGCAATGATCAAGACTTACGTACCCCTGACCCCCACAGAAATTGTAGTTTAACCTTAGCCTACTATATAGCCTCCCCTCCAACTGGCTGTGGGAGAAAAGGGTCAGGACTAGCAATGTATGCATTTATATGAGCCATTCTCAAAGCATTTTCACATACATCTTAAGTTTACCTCCTCTTGAGAGGTAGATGTTAGCACTAATTTATAGATGAGGAAATGAATTTAGAGACATTAAGTGAGTTTTCCAAGGTCACTCAAATACAAAGTGTTCTGAGACTTGCATGGCTTTCCAACTTGATAGAAGTCTTTGCAAGGGAGAGGGTGCCACATACTCTTCCTATTGCATAACTTTTAAAAAAGTCTATCTTAGGGTGAAAGTACTAGTAATTATCTTAAAATAAATCCAAATTTGTTGGATTCTTGTATGCTGCTTATTGAAGGACATCACTGTGGTCATGGCACTTTTGTTTAAGCAGTCCTTTAAATTACGTAGGCCTGTCCCCTAGTGAAACCCAGGTACGCTATGACATGATTGTTTAACCATTGTTTCTTAAAAAGTTTTGAGAATGAGCTTCAGTAAAGTTTGTTTTTAACATTAAATGCAAATCTTGTACATGTATTTTAAGTAGGATTTTATAAATTGTCCTCTTAACTATTTTTATTCAATCAGTTTTCATTAACAGTGATTGTAATTATATTTTAGTAGCTGCTTTTAAGAGCACTTTTTCCATATCTTGGTTACTCTCCCGTGTTCTGATAAGAAAACTCCCTAAGGAAGATCACAACAATAATAACTAATATTTATAGAAAATCACAATAATACCTAATATTTATAGAGCAGTTATATGTACAGGCATGTAAAGATTGTTTACATACTCTGAGTATCCTCTTAAAGATCAGGAAACAGATGCAGAGCTGTTAAAGAAGTTGCCATAGGGTTATACAGCTGACAGGAGTCAGGGTCAGGATTCTTGATCATGCAGCCTGGCTCCAGAGCTAGTGTTGTTCTTAACCTATACATGCTGGACTGCCTCCCTAAAGGAAAAGAGAGCTTTCTTGGTACGAAAAGTAAGATGTTTAGCAGTTATTTAGGAATTTTATCTGATTCTCCTGATGTATTTATTTCATTGGAAAAAATGTCTGATTTAGATTAGAGTCTTATCAGAGGTACCAGGTCTGGGAGTCAGCCCTTCCTACCTTTTGAAGCTGTGGGCTTGTGGGCACATTACAGCCTCCTGACCTGTTAACTGAGATTGTTTCATACATCATGGGATTAAGAACTAAAGGAAGTTACATCTAAAACGTCTTCCTCTCAAAATTGGAAAACACAATTTTAAATTATAAAATTAATACACATTTCTTGCCAAAGAGAGAAAAAGGTTTTTCAAAGATAAGAAAATGAAAATAACACATGATCCCACCACCTAGAGATAATCAATGTTCATTTTTTCTGTGTATATTTTTTAAACAAAATAGACTCATACTTGATATACTATTTTGAAATCAGATTTTTATTTTTTTACTGTATTTATCAGTTCTTTTTCATGGCAATAGATGCAGATTTCTTCTTTTCAGTGACTTAATAATATATTCTATATGGCTGCACCAAAATTATAATTGGTTGGTATATTATTATTGTTATACCTTATTTTCCACTTGCCTAGTATTATCTCTGTAATAAAATCCTATAAATTGAATTGCTGTATCAAAAGTATGTATCTTTTAAGTCTTTCTACATATTACCAAACAGTCTTCTAGGAAAGTTGTTCTATTTTTACATTCCTACTACCAATATGAGGAAGTACTTGTTCATCTAGTCCCATTGCCAGCAGTAAGGATAATTCATTTTAATCCTTGCCTGTCTGGTTAGTAGGTCAAAAAATGGCGTCTAACTTAAAGGCAGTTTAGTTGTAGAGTGTATCCCAGATTTGTTGATTAAGAACAGCTACTTTTAACAACATGAAATATCTGAGAATGATGCCAGGTAGGCCTGGCAATTGTAGCTTTATCAACAGCTCCTGAAGTGACAGAGGTGGCATCAGATTGTCATGTGGCTGGGTCTCTAGACCTATTTGGATCTTTCTTTGCCTTCATTATCTGAGTAGATTACCCAGCTGAACTGCCTTTGGACTTTTATCATTAGAAAGAATTTAGAATTCTTACAATTGTGTAAAATTGATCTAAAAAGTGGTGTTCTCTACCCTAAAAAAAAAAAACTATTGCTTTAGTGTGATTTTGACCTTCCAGAGCAAGAACTGTTAAAAACCATTGGAATTAACATTTCTTATCCTTGGTAACTGTTGATTGAATTAAACTCAGTAGTTTTCAGTTTATGTCTAGTCAGTCTTTGAGAGTAAGGAAAGTGGTAAGTTCTATTTTTAAGTGTACTGTTGATTGCTGAATGATGGTATTCGAAGGTAGGGCTTTGGCCAGCTGATGGGATGGGAACATCATGTGTTATGTTTTTATTACTTGGGTGTTCTGCTAGGCATTTTATTATGAAGCATGTTCACTGTTTTACAGAACAGTATATTGAGCCCCAAGTCACACAGCTGAGCTAGGATTCAAAATTGGGTTTGTCTTACTTTCCACTATATAGGCATTCCTTGACATATTGAAGGGATGTCATGTTGAAGAGCCATGCATGAATGTTTACTTAACAACAACTGGGTGCAGATGCTGCCGCTTGGTAACAGCTTCTCCCTGCTCTTGCAGGCAGAGGCAAGGAAGGACATGCTCTTTGTGAGATGGGGAGCAGACCAAAAGATGGGGAGATGACTGATCACCCCACCTGGGTCATCCAGATAAACTTGGGAATGCCACTTCTGAAGAAGGTCTGGGCCCAAAAGTAGTTTGAATGAAGAGCC